GGGTGGAGGTGCGTTGGGGTCGGTGTGGGAGCAGATGGTGGCGATCTTCCTGGTTTTCTTGATCGCTTTTAGGATTTTGTCGAGCTCTGCTCGGCCCACAACGGTTAGTTTTTGATTTGCGGTGTCGATGTAGATATCATATACACCTGACAGAACGAGTAGCGGAAAGACTTGTAAATTTTTCCTTTATTGTAGTTTTATTTACTTATGACAATCCGTAACTTCCGGTGGATGCAATGCGTGAATGACATAGAACCTGGGGAAGTTTTGTAGTTGAATTTTCAAGAAAACAATTTTTTTTTATTTTTCTATTTTTATTGTTTGGATTTTTGAACTTTTGAGGGCATTTCCCTTGATTTTTTAAAGTGTAAGGCATCTTCTTTTTTTCTTTTTTCCAAATATGAGGGCATTCTCATGATTCTAAAATTGAAGCTCACACAAACGGAAAGGGGAGTTTTAAATAATTGTACTATATATAGATAAGAGAATCTTGCTTTCCAATTCTTGGCGCAACTACTGTGTGTTATTAAAATGAATTTACTAACTGAGAACTTCAAATTATGTAAGCCTGTATTTCTGTCTAATTTTATTGTTTATATGTAAGATAACTTGTCAGGTTTAGGCATGCAAAAGTTTTAAAAATAACTATACTTTTGGCCTTGGTGTCTTGATCTTCTGGAAATGTTACAGTCATGTTTATAAATGCAGGGTCTGATTTGTATGCAAGAGAAACTTGACAGGTCTAAAACTGCAACATTCTAAAAGTATTACAGTGAAAATTCTTACCGTCTACATTGTGCAACGCCTTCTTGATCTTCTGTACACATCCGTTACAGTCCATCCGAAGCTGTAATTCGGTGACTCGAGGTTTCTGCCAGTCAATAAACAAATCTTCAAATTAATCGCAAACGCATTTATTTACTTAAAATTCGTAACAAAAAATTTAGAACAAAAACATACCTCCAGTTCAGGAACCTGCATCAGTTTCAATATTGTACCAGAAACCTTTGCAAGTATTTCCTATAACCGAAAATGAGCGCAACGAGTGAGCATTATATACTGGAGAATTCGAACATCTTTAGCGAAAAAGGCGAAGGATGAAGTGAGCGATAAGGAGGGGACAACTGAAAGCAGCTTCTCTCCCTGTGACTTTCTATCTCTAATGGAGGGGGGATATTCTAAGCCGACCCAAGGAAGAAAGCTCTAAAAGCAAAGCTTATCATGGTTCAGTGCAGTCAAAAGAGATGCTTCCCTTTTTGTATTGAGAGGATGGCCTCCACAATTTCAAGAATCTAGAGTTTTAAAATGTAGGAAATTTAGGGTCCTGAAGTTTCTAACAGCTTGCTCAGGGCTAATTGATGCCACTTATGTTCAACTGTAACACAAACTCTATTAAAAGTGTGTGACACTGATTTGCTACTTTCAACATGTGTCATGAGTCTCAGAACCATAGATCATAAAAAGTATATATTCATGTATCAGTAATTAAGTAAATGAAAATTTCAAACTTGACAGAATAATGATGCGGGTGAAATTTTTTTTTTTTTAAATTCTTATTCAACCCTTAAGATAAGCTCAGAAGATCAGCTAAGTCGAGCCTGTAATTTTATGCAAAGATAAGGAGAAAGTTATATTTTATTTAAGAGCAAAACAAAGTCATAAAAAGAAATTCTAACCGTTCGAGAGTTTTTAATAGTTTTACACCAAAAAAAAAAAAATGAGGACAAAAGATCCATAGTCAAGATTCTTGGCAAAATCTGCAGCATTGGGCCTTAGGACACCACCGAAGAGTTTGTAGAGAATTTCTAGCTTCTCTCTGTCCAAAACATCGTTGCTGTCCTTTATGCTCTCCAATGGAAATGATGTAAACCGAAAAATTTGTCAAAGAACATAAATTTGTCAAAGAATATACAATGTCAGAGTATAACAACAAACCACAATCATTACCATGAAGTTTGGAGTTTTTGTATAGAGGCAGGGAGATTAAGCGTTTGTTTCCTAATCTAATCTGACTCTAAAATTGAATTTATTTCCTAATCTAAATAGATTCCAACTCAGATTAAGCGTCCTACATCACAGGGACCTCTGACATGTTATCAGAGCAACTCATGTTGAATTCCTACCAGCACAAAGTTAAAGCAGATTTTTAAAAAGAAAATATATAGATACATCTACGTGGCTTCGCCCTCAACTTGAAAGGACAATGTTAGAGTATAGAACTACAACCCTTAATCCTACTAAACTCAAGTTCAATACATAATGGCCATTAATTTAAAGCGAATTTTTTTTAAAAAATATTGCTATTTGACCTCAGGTCATGTTTTGGTACAGTGGAAGGGACCCTTGACATAGGTATAATACTATTTTCATATACAACTACAGTTACAGATATTCTATCTCGATGAACGTAAGTTGAGCTTCGGGTTGGGTTAGGATATTTTTTGGATGTTAATGAATTCGATTAAAATCTAGAGAAAAAATTGAGACCCTTAATTTTACAATATCTTTCTTTACACATTATATCACATGCACGTGCTTAAAAATATGTGTATTTGGACAAGTTTGACGTGTTCAAAATAAGTAACGGTGTATAGAGGATTATATATCCATTTGTTTACAGATTTCTAGCTTGGACTGAATCTTTCATTTATACAAGTCTCATGAACTCTGTACTGGCTTACCTTCAGTGAAATAGAACCGTTTGATGCTACCAGGACCTCCATCTCCGTCAACTCTCTCGGCTCCCGCAGTCATTCAGGCAAAATCTTCGGGCTGACGATGTGCATGTCCGCGCATGCAGCTTCAAACATTATTGCAGCAGCAACCTGAGAAGAATGTTAGTTTGTTGTGTTGTGATTCTCTCAGCTGAGGATGTTGAGGGATTTACACGAGTGCGCACACA